TGGAAGATCTATATGCAGCTGATGGTTCCCCACTATTGCCTCTGGCACCATTTCTGTTGTGCAGTTTTTTTCTGAGACTTCTCTCCTCTCTGCACACTTGTTGCATACATAATACATATACTTCTCTCACACATTCTCCAAACTTTTTCACAAGTGTATCCCTTGTGGCAAGTCTGTGTTTAGAAAAAGGTTCCCGGTCATCTAGCCCGGCTAGGTCCAACTGGACCAACTTGAAGGTCCCAGTTGGCTGCGTTTCTTATTCTGTACTACCGTAAAGAAAACGAAAAAGGATCAACGCCCAGCAACGCAGAACCCGTGTTAGCAGAACCTTGCCCCTGGTAAGTCTTTGAAGAGCCACACTCTTGGCTGTATCAGGGACTGGATTAAAAAAAAAAAAAAAAAAAAAAAAAAAAAAAAAAAAAAAAAAAAAAAAAAAAAAGGCATCCTGCAGGGCCCGTCTCACTGTCTGTTGCTAGCAGAATGATGGCTATGGTGTTGAAACAGCACAGCAGGTAGCACTTATAGGTCCCACTGCCCCGCTTGGGACAGTAAAAGGTGGGGGAAGGGGGCAGCATGGGGTTAGCTCTTGGGCTAAGAAGTGGTAACCCCCCCCCCTCAACTGCAGAAGTGGGCCTATCATCTTGTACTATGTTCCTTTTTTTTCTTTTCTAAGAACAACTCAAGTAAATGCTAGAGGTGCTGATAAAAGCAGACACCACTAGCATGCTCGAGGAGGCTCCATCTATTGGTGGGGAGGGGCACCTGCTGGAAATTGGGTCCAGCGTCCCTCAACAATTATAGCCAGGTGTTTCGTAAACCACCCGAGTTCGTATCAATGTGCCACGTGTCCACCCCACAAAATGCATACGTGATCAACCGAAACAGCACGCTGGCACACTCTATCATGTGATGAGCAGCATTGATTGCCCTCAACTGAGGGGATTAACTACTCGTCGTAGTTAAAACGAAATCTCCACTCCGAAACTTTCATCACCCGCTTAACAAATCGTTCGCAGCACCATGAAAGGGAGAGGTAATCAGAATAGGAAGCTAGATCAGCTATTATGGCTAATTCCGAGGTCATCACAAAGTTACTCTCACAAGTTATCGGGGAGCATCATAGCAATTAGGGTGCTGTCCTCCCTATCCACCCCTTCACGCCACCATCCCACACCCCACATCCCCGTGACGCCTTCCTGTTCACCAAACATTCCCATCACCCACACCTCTCGCCCCTGGCCCCAATCATTCCCCACAGCAGACAAGAGGGGAAGCGGGATGGCAAGAGAAGAGAGGGAGGAGAAAAACCAGCAACTCACACTCACTTCTCCACGAGCACCAGCGCCAGTTTTGTTGTTGTTGTTGTTGTTGTCGTTGTTGTGTTGTTGTTGTTATTGTTGTTGTTGTTGTTGTTGTTGTTGTTGTTGTTGTTGTAGGTTTTGTCATTGCATACTGTATCGTTATTGTTGTTGTTTTTATCATCAAGAGCGTCATCATTCTTGGCTGCTTCCCCAACGGTGATGCTGCTGTCCCGAAGGCCATCCGTGGTATCGTCGTCACCGTCATCATGAAGTCGGTCCTCGAACTCGCCACAAAGCCCCTGCCCCTCCTCAAGGGCCTCATAGCCGCGCCGCAACTGCGCATCCGATCGTGGCAGATCCGTGAATTCCACATAAGAGGGCGACCCCTCTTCCAACCCCCGTGCATCGTGACCCTGCTCAAACGGTTCCCGTTGCCGAACACAACCTGGAATATTTGATCATGTCGCGGCTATGGATAGTGGCGTTATTATTATAGCTGTTGTAATTGGCAATATGGCCGTGACGGCCTCTGTTGATGTGGTCGATGTTGGTGTTGTTGTTGCCGTTGTTGATGATATTGATGTTATTGATGATGTTGTTGATAATGTTGCTGCTGTCAATGCTGTCCATGTCACGACGTCTGGCGGACCACTCGCGGGTCTCCTCGCTAGAAGGCCAACAAACTTATCTTTGACCTGCTGCAGTAACCCAGCACAGTCATGGAGAGCAGTAATCGCCCGCGCTCTGTCGATCGCATCCCGCTGTCGAAGAGAGATCTGCTCATAAAGTTCCTCCTCCCACCCATCGTAGATCTCCAATCCCTCCAACAGAACGTCGCATGGCAGATCGCCATGCTCTTGACACAGCGCAGCATACATCTCCTCCAGCTGCTGTTTGTAGATGATCACAATAGACAGCGCGGACACTTCCTCCTCAGTCTGCAGGTCAAGAGGGGTTCCCCACAGCCCCCCATGAGGCAAAGTCTCCATGCCCTCCCCTATCATTGCTATTGATATTGAAAGCTGCCGCCACTATACGTCAACGTGTCAACAGTTCCACGGCTGGCGTCACCCCTGTCAGCGCGTCACGGGACACCTACGTCGCCAACAACAGGCGCCACGTGGCAGAACACCACGCGCGTCTGTCAGGCGCGCGTACACAGCACTAGTCGAGCCCCCGGGCTCCCCCGGGCACTAGTCGAGCCGGCAGACCGGGCCTTGCCGGACTGGCGGCGACAGGGCGCTAGCACAGCCTCCCAATGAGTAGAGTCCTTGTACTATGTTCCTACCCAGTCTTCTCCTGGGTGTTATCAGACCCTCAACCCCCTCTGCACAGGCTTGGTGAACACCCAGGCCTTCAACGGGGGAACTGAGGAAATGGGACCCTCGCTACCCCATAGTGCATTAACCATCTCTAATAGTGGACAACACCCATGTGACACCATTGACTAAGGGGCAGGCTCCACGGGTGCTATGTTCATGCTGTGAAAGCATGCTATTTACAGCGAGGTTCAGGGTTTCCCAGCAGTAACATAGCATCACTGGATCCCCCCCCCTGCGAGTGCTGTCTGGGGAGCCAGTGCATAGCGAACAAACTAGGCAGTGGCCTTGAACTCGGACGGCAAGCTTCGTCCGCATCTGCTTCCATTAGGGCCGGGGGGTTGGCCCAGCCTTGATGCTTGTCACTGCTGTATGGTTCAAGTTGCCCTCGATACTGGGAGGGTGACGGTCCAGAGCGCTGGTCACACTGAGGTAGGATAGTAAGGACAAGGGGTGCGCTGGGAGTGTGAACATGGGGATGGGTAGGGTAGGTGGCCTATCCTGTCAGGACAACCATTGGCTGCCGCTACCACCATCTTCCCCCGAACACAACACACCCTTATCTTGGCTGTACCGGACCGGACAAATAGCTTGTATACGTTCATTTTCAGGGTGCATTATGTACGGGGGAAGACGGTAGCAATCACCGCGGGTCTGGTCCTTGGCCTCTACAACACCCTGGGCTTTAAAAGGTCGTGGACTTGAACCCGAGCCTCCAGAAGACCTTGAACCCAAGACCACCCCCCCCCAATCCCCCAAGGCAACTCTTTTCCCTTTTTTTCTTTGTTACAGGAATCTACATTCTTTGCTCAATGTACACTACTGTTTTCCCCCTCCTTATCTATCTCACTCATCCTCTCGCTATTCTATGTATAGTACTGGGGAACACCAACCAAACCTGGATCTCTCCCAGCCCTCAGGGTAGGTTTGCACCAGAGTGGTGGTGCTAGAGCAAGGCTTTTATCAGCCCCTCATGGCGGTGATGCGGGGTGATCAGGCATTGCCGACAGCGATGCCAGTGTAGAGCACTTCATGGCCAGTCACTTGCGCCTCCCCCAACCCCCTCCAAACCCACATGAGCCGTCTCTAATGGCCAATATCGTTGCTGCATAGCAACCAACAACATTGGCCAAGGTCCTGCCAACGCTGGCTTGGGGGGCCAATGTCTTGTCTCTAGCTGGTTGAACACCAAGCATGCTCAGGCACGTACGTGAGGCCAATGGGAATTGAGCCCACGAGCCGGGCTACAGGTAGGCCCGCCCCTTTCAACTCCTTTCACCTTTTTTTTTCCCCATCACTATACTGACCGGCCCCAGGATTCGAGCTTCGCTGAGTTTATCGACGGTTAACGGTTACATCGGTGTACCACTGAGGGCCTACCTCGGCAGTTGCACTACTCACCATCCGCCAACATTTTGACTGCATATGGCCGCCATTCTGTCCAGATGCGTTGAAAATGTTGGCGGATGGCGAATAGTGCAACTAGGCCCACCCGTTGAAAATGTTGTGTTGGCGGATGGCGCGCAGTGTAACTATATGTAGGCCCTGAGCCACACGGGCTGGGTACCAAGGCAACTTCGGTACCTTGATTTCTGGTCGTTGATCTTCCGAATCTGCGGTCAAAAATCGATCATTCGGTAAGTGGGACTTGGCCCCCGATGTACCCTCTCTCCCGCCCCCCCCCTCCTCTTCCCCCCCCCTCTCCCCCTCCCTCTCCCCCTTTTTTGAAAACCCCCGATCTACCGAATCACCGATTCGCCATGCTTTTTCTTTTTCGGTCGTTTCTCTCCCCGCCCTTTTTCCGTTCTCTGCCTTTTTTCGGCGGGGTTGCATTTCATCAGCCGGCCACCGGCTGCCCGCTGCCGGGGCTAGGTCCCACTTGCACGAATTAAGAGATAGAGACCGTAGATAGACGAGATCGACGGCCGAAATCTCCTAATCTGTGCACGTGGGACCTTGCCCGCACCGGCTGCCGGCGCGGTAGTAGCGACCTACAAAGGCGGCCGTCCGTCTTCTACCGGTAGGCTGGCTTGGACCGTCGCGGGGCCGAGGCTGGCCCGAAGCTGGCACGAAGCTGGAGCGGAAGAAGGGCGGAGAGTAGAGCAGAGCAGAGAGGGTGGGGAGTCCGGGCCCTGTGGTTGTGGCATTGAGGGCCGGACTGTGGCGGCTGTGACCCTCACTCTCCGCCCGTCTTCGTTCGTGTTTGTCCTCCGTTCGTCTCGTCTCGCTGGCTTGTCGGTGCCGCTTCATCGTCGTTCCCCTACCTGGCAACTGCTTGGCTATGGCTTCCGTCCGAATCTTCGGCGAGGCTTCATTGACGTTGTGATTGATCGGGTCGGCGCGGAGTCGGACGGAGGAGTTACGCGCAAGCTGGGACACGTGATAGATCATCAATCGATCATCGCATCAGTCAATCAACAAACCTATCAATCATCCAATCATCCAATCAATCAATCAATCAATCAATCAATCAATCAATCGATCAACCAAGCAATCAATCGTGGTCGTGCAATGAGAGCAGAATCGACGGTCGTGGTAGTTGGAAGGAGAAGATCTTAGTGGATATGGAAATGATTGTCACGGCTATTTGCCGCGAAGCGCGATGATTGCATTTAGTAGCAAAGGCAAGACGAGTATGATGGGCAGGGACAGCTGGAGGAGGAGGAGGAGCGATAGACAGGGGGGTCGTCATCACCTGCGGTAGATGGGTTAATTGATTGATTGATTGATTGATAAGAGAAAGGTGTTCTTGTTTTGAGGGAAAAGGGAAGGGGAGAGTAGTAGAGGAGAAGGGGAAGGAGGCGTTTTTCGCAAGGAAGAGAGAGGAGAGGAGAAGGAGAAAGGAGAAGGAAGGGAGGAGGAGGAGGAGGAGGAGGAGGAGGAGGAGGAGGAGGAGATACGCGCGGTGGCGGAGGGGCGGAATAGCTAGATCCAGCGTGGAGTGCCGACATGGCGAAGAAGGAGAAAGTAGGCGATGAAAGTGGAGAGAGGAGAAAGAAGGGCAGAGATGCAGCCGCAGCGGCGGCGTCGAAGTCCATAGAGGATGAGGAGGGAAAGAGAGAGGGGAAAGGAAAGACGACGGATTCTGTTGCTGACGTGGAGGCTATCAAGGCTGACGTGGCAGCGTTTGCTGCTGATCTGGGATTTGCCACGTCGCTGGGAAAAGCTTCAGGTTTTGACGATCGGGACTTCCGCAGGCCGCCGCGCAAACTAGGATCGAGGAGGACGGAGGATGAAGAATCAGATAGCGATGGTGGCGATGGCGGCGGCTATGGTGATGCTGATGGTGACGATGAGAACGATGGAGGGAGAAGCCGAGGAGGAGGAGGAGGAGGAGGAGGGAGACGAGAGAAAGGTGTGGCAGGAAGAGGAGGAGGAGGGAGGTTAGGTAGACAAGAAGCGGGGGGTAGAGGAGGTAGGTTAGGAGAAGGAGTAGGGAGAGGAGATCGGCGATCGGAGCGGGAACAGAGGGAGGCTGGGCCGGTGCAAAAAGGGGCGAAAGTAGGGAGTGAAGAGAGAGAGGGAGGGAGAGATGGGATGGGAGAGGGAGGAAGGAGGTATGGAAGTGTCAAGCCGTGGGAGAAAGAAGAAGGGGAGTTTTCTGAGAAGGGGAGACCTCACAAGGCCATCGCGAATTTCAAAGGGAAGTTGGATCTGCCGCCGGGAGTGTGGTATGACGTGGCGTCGACGCTGGTGCAGCAATTGATACCGAGGGAGGGAGAGGGAGGAGGTTCCGCACTGCAAAGGAGGGAGGGGGTGGAGTGGGAGAATTTGGTGGAGCAGAAGAAGAGGGAAGGCGAGGCGCTAATGTATGTGAAGATGGAAGAGTACGAACGAGAGAAGGCCAAGGACAGCGATGCCAAATGGCTTGCCACTGTCAGGCAGTCGGGAACTTCTGTGGATAAGGTTGCCGCCATGACCGTTGCTGTTCAAGAGGATCCCATCGCCAACATCCGCAGCTTGGATGCGCTCTTGAGTAAGTCATCTCCACGTCTAATGTCTGTGCGCTTTTTTTTTTTTTTTTTTTTTTT